TAATAATACAGGCACAGTCAATCAAAATTATTGAAACATTGACTGTTATTATCTAACAGATACTTACAAACACCTAAGTATCTGTTAAATATCAGTGCAGTATGTATGCTGTTCCTAATATTTCCATTTGTTGCAGTTCTGGTGTTATTTCTGAGATCTACAACTCTATATAGTACTTTGTGAAATTTCTTCATATTGTTCCCAAAGTCCCAATGACAATGGGAACCATAATGTGGTATGATGATGATGATGATATAGTAGAAAAATAGTGGAAGCTCTTTTGCAGTGCAGAGCTGGCAGAAAATGCTACAAAATTACACTGGGAATGGCATGCTGATAGAATAAGAGATTGGTAGAGAAGGACTTTGAAATCAACATTTCAGGTTTGCTTGCCAACTCTGTTCCCATAGTGCTTTTACCATATTGTTTTTTTTACCAGCAATAAGATAGATGTTTATTTCAACCATTTCATTACTATATTTGTTTTTCTCAGTAGTTCCATGCTTGGGAAGAGGGCAGTCCATCAAAGCTCCAAATTAGAAATTTAAAATTGCCCTATTCTTACATTGTTACATAAAAGAACAGGCAATAGTATATGAGTTTTCCAGCACATTCTATTCACGTCTATTAAATCCACTCAGTTGGTCTTCGGAGGCCACCTGCTATAATGGCCAAAAGAGAGTTTTTAGAGATTACACAAATTCATGGAGGACTGGGCAAAATTCATGAAGGATCAAGTTATAAAAGGCGACTACCGGTAGCTGTGATTGAATATTGTCTCCAGTACCAGAAGCAGTACACATCTCAACAGGCCAGCTTGGGGGGTGGGGGAACATGAAGGGTCTTATGTCCTGCTTGTAGGCCTCCCATAGGCATCTGGTTAGTCACTGTAGGAACGCAAAAGCAGATAAGCTTTTGGTATAATTTAGTGGGCAATGTGTTGGGCTGTATATCTTGAAACAGTTTCTTATGCTGGGGATTAGCAAGGGCTCGTTTTCAGTTACCACGATGCACAGGAGAGCAGCCCAGAGGTCTCAAAGAGTGTTCAGCTGGTTCAACAAGCCTATCTTATCTGAATAAGACTGCTACCATTACACAGCAAAGAGGTCAGGTTGGATGCTTCAAGCATGATTATATGCACTCAACCCAGAATTAAGCTCCTGCTTCATGGGGCTTAAGCAATGGCACAAAGAACATGCTGGAAAAGAAGCCCTGGAGGGAGAGAGAGAAACAGTACTGGATTTGACTTCATATCTAGGGAATGTTCTTTAAGAAATCATCCTTTAGGAGGAGGAGTGAAGCCTAGAAGGGTTAATCTGGAGAGAAGGACCTACAAAGTCTCCTTAAATATCAAATTTCTATTGCAGCAACTACACATTTGGAACTTTCTAAGTGGTCTGGCAGTACAGATTGCTACTGACACAGTCCAAGGTTTCCTCTCAGGATAGGTCAGAATGCAGAATGTTTAGGAGAATGTGGTTCTCCTAAACATTCTAGCTCTTGGCCTGATTTAATCAATTCAAGCATCCTAATTAAATGGAAGGGAGGAGGGGGGGGAGAGTTCACTCTAATCCAGTCTAAAGTTTCTCACCTGATCCAATTTCTTATTAAGAAGTCACATGCAATCCAAATCAAAAAGACTGATGCAAAAGGCAATACTAGTAAAAACAAATCCTCTGAGAGTAAGATTCATGGTCAAATAACAGACTTTTATCTCTGTTTCAAGAACAAACAGAGAGCCATCTTGTTAAGTAACTACATGTTAGATGTGAACATTTTCCAAGCAATGTGTAGCCATTTAAGGAGGCACAGCCATCTGGCAACAAGCCTATGAAAACAAACATAACATAAATCTAGTGCATTATATACAAACCACATAAGTGGGACCAACCTGAAGTGAAGCAATTAAAAATGTCAGAAGATTAACTGTGGAATCAAAAGAGCCACCCTTTTTGTGCATATTTACAGAAACTTGTAACAAAGCAAAAATCTATGTTTAGGTAAACTGATTTTTCATGGACCACTACAGAGTTATGTGGGCATAGTCAATTACTTTGTATGGATTTTCCCTCTCATTTTAAATTTAACTGTAGAATTATGATAGCCCTCAGGCCAGGGTATTGCTGTATCAACAGATTTGCTGATGCCCTCTGATCTGATCTTCACTGTAGTTTTAAATTTGGCAAAAAAAAACAAAAACCCTCAGCAAAATAATGTTTCCACGTAATGTAACACAGAATTATTAGTAGCCCCCAAATGAGTAGGCTTTGTAAGCTGATTCTGAAAATTCATTCAACCATAATCTTATCTAATGACAAACCATTTCCCTATAGGGATTTCTTGATAAGAGTTTATTCTTGAAGGCCCTTTTGTTCCACACCTCTGGTCTTAAAACTTCAGGTAAAGGTGTTTTCACTTCTCAGTTCAACTTCTGTTTATGAAGGAATTGGTGTTTTTTTTTTACATGCAAGGGCAATGTGCTCGTAAGTGCTGCCCCACATGTATTCTGAGCTGAAACTGGCTTTTCAGATAACTGTTGTGACTAAGTTCTCCAAGTGTCCATTGTAGCTTAAACTCAACATTCAACAGATGGGGGCAAGGCTAGGGGAAAAAGACAACTGTAGTAGACCTCACCATTAAAAACTATGCAAAATAGTCCAAATGTATATCAGGTAGCATGACTAGAATCCAACCCCACCCCCGGAAACTAAGTAATACTGTATGGCGGTTCTAGGTGGAACCCACTTGAATCTGCATATACCACCACCTTTCAAACTCAGGGCATATGTATAATCCACAATATGTTGAAAATCTAATTGGAGTCAGAAAATAATCCAGAATTTTTGTATTGTATTGTGTATTGTATTGTATTGAGCCCAAAAAACCCACAACAACCAATACAATTTTTGTTGTTGCAATTAATTATTTGTTGGTGGCAGATTATTTGTCCTGCTGAATTGAAGTAATTTTATTTGAAATTATGGGAAGTGCAAATTTGAAAAATCATAAAATGCCAGAATCAGACAACAAATTTGTAAAACAGGCAAACTGACACCATACATCTCCTTCCAGATTTGCAAGCCTCTGCATTTCTGTGAAACAACTGTAGGGGACTATTGATCTTTTATAATTGCCTGATGATTTTTAAATCACCTAAATTATTTTGCAGATAAAGGACTTCCAAAGATGATTACCTCTCTATCCTTTGATCCCTTCTGTTCCATGAATAAAAAGCAAATGCACACATTGAACAGTACAGGTAAGTGTTACAAAATTATGTTTAATTTAGTGAATTATTCCCTCCTAAAGGAATCAAACACAGGTTTCTTCTTTTCATGACCTTGCTAAATTATCCAGCAGAATTTGAGGCTTTTTTGAATTGATAAACAAAATATTCATTACTAGAAATCTGACCATGAAATGCGATTTAAAACTATATCCCTGGTGGCCTATGAAACCTGTAGCAATACCTTTATTTCACCCTCTTTAAAAAAAAGATTTGGAGAACATCCAAGCTGTCTACAAGGGACACTATTAATATGAGTTCTAAGTTAAACAGAGGGCTGAATCCCTAGCAGCAAGAGAGCTGCCCATTTGTTCCAAACTCATTAAAGTACGTGATGCCTGGATGCCTTCAGCAGTAACAGATTTGTCTGACTAATGGAGGGAGCACATCAGGGACACCCTCAATTAGTGCACTGTAGAAAACCTTGTAAATATATATATTATTTACCATTGGCTGCTATTCAGAAAATCTTCACATCAGGTACTGTACAAAATTGGCTGCATATTGACTTGTAATCTCGTCTACTAATAAAGGTTTTGGAAATATAGTTCAGAAGGCACTGAATGTTCCTAGTGGTTATGGTGTTTGGCAAATAAATGTAGTTTTGCAAATTCTTTCTGATATGCTAAACAACTAAAAATGGGTATTATGAAAAAGAACTTTCACCTTTTCTTCAAGCCACTTTCTTCTCTGCAAAACCTTGTTAAAAATATACAGTAGAGGCAAAATTTTCTTGGCAATCAACACTACTAAATCAGTTCTCCGCACCACCATGTTCATCATTATCTTTCAACTCTTTAGGATTATATTTAAATCTTACTAAGTCCTACTCTGTTCAACAGGTTCCCCCTAGGAAGTTTCACAGAACTGTAAATAGTCAATCACTGCAAAATGT